TTGAAGCAAGTGCTTTTAGTGAGCACCTTTTAAAACCAATGAGGTGCACGTGGGGGTGGGTGGCCAGCACAAAGCCCGGTCAGCCTTCACCTCCCCAGTGCTGATGTTGACACACTGCACCAGCTGCTCCTTTATAAGGTTGAGTCGACCTACGGGGGAGGTCTAACGCTGATATCGTCGCCACCGGCGTTGGCTGTGAGCAGGAATCAAGCCTCTGGTCGGCCGGTTTGTAGCACGGTGCGTGAACCACTCCCTACAGTCCTGCCCTTTGTCTTCTCTGCTTGTACACGTCCCATCCTTTCGCACGCATTGTGCACGCCGTCATTGTTTCATCGCGATATCGGCAAATCGCATCGGTGACAGGTTCCAAACTTACACACACAAACGTGTCCACACGTGCAATCGCCGTAGCGATCGGCGCCGCGCTCCTTGTCACAAACTGTCGCATGCAAGCGTGCGAGTGGGCCCGCACGCTTGCATGCGCGCGTTTGCCTTATCCGGCGCCGGATCCACGCGGCACATCACCGGGCGCTGAGCTCACGTTCCGCACGGCTTGCTCTGCATCGCGGCGGGGCATTGCCGCCGGGTTAAAAAAACGGGCGCGGAGAAAATGCGTGGGGGACGACGTTCCGCTGAAAAAAAAAAAACTCGCCCTGCCAGTGATGCCGCCTGTCGCTTAGAACTCGATTCTTTTCACGTTTAAAGGTGAAACTTCAGCGAGGAGTCTGTGCTTCCCCAGCGATCTTCCCCCCACCTCCTCGCCCGGAATGTGCCTAATGCCATCTGATTTTGCAAGCTCAGCAGGCTTAGGCCTGGATAATGCTTGGACGTGCAGGTACAATGCACAGACAGGTTGCGGAGCCGTGCGGTGGGTAGTGCAGCAGAGTCCGTTGTTGTACTGTGTGTTCTATGCTCCCCGCCTTCGCCAACACACACACAATGACTGGTGTGGTGGTTGTTGTGTTTAATAACCTGCCCCGGGCCTGCCGTACAGCCATCGGGAGACCCTCATTCAGCAGTAGATTCGCGAAAATGGTTGTACACCGTGTGGCTGCTGAATGTGTGTGTGTGTGTACACGCCTGCGTTAATGGGTGCTCGCTAACATCACTCACCGCAACAGTCTGTGTGTGTGTGCGCTTGCGGTTTGTGCTCTGTTGGGATGCGATCGCCACCCCTTTCTGGCTGGCAGATTCGGCTGAGTTGAGCTGCCCGTGCGGCAGACGCACTCTGAAGCGCAGCCCAGACTTGGCGTGGGTTGGGCCTGCATCGCTGACTTGCGTCGTTGGCATTGCCAGCGCACGGTGGTACAGTTTAGTGGTACTGTGCTGAACGGGCCCCGCAGTGTTCATAGAGAGCTCCTGTCAATTATGAAAAGGCAACCCAGCAGGATTTGTATCAGCATCACTGATTCATTGTCTAAAACAGGTGACAGCCCATGACACTGGATTGGGGAGGCCTTCATCCAGCAGTGGATTGATGACAGCTGGTGATAAGGATGATTGTGATTAAAGCACGTCAAGGGAGACGAAGATTACAAAGCAATACGGCACACGTGTAAAGAAGCATAACCGTAAATGTTTGACAAAAGACGACACTCTTCTGATGGGACCAGACGGTCAACATATTTCCCGAGCTCGCCTGCAGAAACAAATGCTGCTGGAAAACATTGACCTCGAGAACCCACAGAGTGGCTGATGGTTACACAATTTTACATTATTCTACATCGTCAAAACAGAGACCCCCGCGCGTGTGTTAGGTCGTCAGATCGTATTTAAAGAGACGAAACTCTTGCCGCCTTATTGCGTTTCGAATCTACGCGAAGTCGGCCGCGGGCAGAACTTGGTGGGCCCGACCGCACCGCGCGAGTCGGAGGATCTTAACCCTTGGAATGACGGGAGGCCGCGAATTGCGAGCCGTCTCGCAGCTGCGTGTCGGCGGCGGCGACGACGGCGGGCGGTGTGTGCGCAGCTGTCTCCCGCTCGTCGTCGTTCGCCGCCAGATGAGTTGGCCATCTGTTACCGCGGCACTGGCCCCGCTCTAAAGCTCCCGTCTCTTCCAACGGGGCGGCCGGGGGACCGCGAGGAGACGCTCGCATCTGCTGGAGCCATCGGGGCCTCGCCGTGGCTTCTGCTCGTGCCCCTGAGGGTGGGGGGCGCCGGGGAGTAAGAAGGCTCCCCCGGCCCCAAAGAGAGAAAACATTAGTGGGAACTCTCAACACATTCGTTGTCAGTAGTGCATTGGCCTCATAGAAATATATATCATAGGTGACCTTTTAAGCTATGGCCCTTTGTCGTCGCGCGTGATAAATCGTTGACACGAGCGGGAGATGCATAATTGGTCTATGGACCGTGAAGGGGGACGGGCCGCGTCCCAAAACGTCGGCTATTATTATATTTTTCCTATTAAGGCCACAGTGTTAATTATGAATGTGTTGAGTTTATTACGCGTGCTTGTGCACCACCGCCAACGCGGTATCACCAAATGACTGTTCTGTCTCCACATATATATAAATATAAATGTATTTTAGTCCGACAGCCACGTGGCTTTCCAGACCGGTGTCGTTTACAGTGGAACTCCTCCTCTTATCCGTGTCCCCTGTCAGCCGCCGATGGACCACTTTGCAGGAGCTCCCATTATCCGCGTGGCAGTGCTTACTGTTATCCGTGCTTTACCGGCGGGTAAGAGGAGTGGCCTGGCAATGGTAGGAAATTCGCTCTGTTATTTGCCTGTTCATCCATGTAGATAACAGCAATCTGTGCTGTTGAACGCAGATAATAGGATGTGCTAAGTATGCCCCCCCACCACCGCTCCCGCTCCCCCCCCTGAACAGTCACACCACGACCGCCATCACGGACGATAGGCGTTCCACTAAAGTTTTATCTTCCGAAATTATAGAAACGATCCTTAGCTTTGTTTTGATGGGCGAACTGGCGGAGATGTTGCATTTTGCTAATTGCTTGCAGTTGAATTTTGTGGCGGCTGCTGCCGCTGCTGTGCGGAGGCTTGCTCCGCTGAGGCAGGGGCAGCACGGGTGACTTGAAAGGGAGGCAACTTGAAAAGCCGGCCAGGGTGACCCCCGGCTCTTTGACCTTTTGACTTGGGAGACCCTTTCTTCCCGTTCCGTTAGCTGTAAAGTACATCCTCTATAGGGGCGGGGGGAAAACATGTGGGACGTGTGCGGTGGCTCATCCGTGGGGTTTTTTGCACGGGATGCGTGTAGACGCGTTTTGGTGACCCGCTGGTGCGCGTGTGACTTTGAGTTCACTCGGCGTAACTATGAAGCAGAAGTGTTCGCCTCTGCTGAAAGACATTTTTATGAGTTTGCTATTTCAGCAAAAAAAACAAGCAGCTTCAGCAGCTGAATATGCAAAATCCACCGGGCTTCTTGGCATTTAGGGAGTGCGTTACGCTTTAGAATTCATTGTATCCTGAATAGACTCGATTTGCTATTGCAACATGGAATTACCATCACCGATTCAGGGCCACCAGCAGCATGACCAACATGCCAGAGTTTGAGAGAGGGACTCGGCGTTTGTTGTACGTCTCGCTGTGATTGAGATCCCCAATGGATGTCCCCAGCGCCAACTCTCTCCCCACATCTCTCTCCTCCTTACTCCGCTGCTCTTGGTGTCACCCAGGATCAACCTTTTAACTCGGTGGGAGGTCGCCGCTTCTCATCTGCTGGCCTCGCCTGCGCGCACATTCTCTCCCCTCTCGTTGTCGGCACTGCCAAACTCAAATCCGAGCTGCCGCTGACGTTATCCGTGACCGAGACTCGAACTCCGTTCGGCAGGTTTCTTAGCGTAGTGCGCTAACCACTGCGCCACCCGCGCTCCACGCCGTGAACAGGTGCCGATTTCCCGAACGCGCCACTGCACTCCACTACCACTGCAGGCTGCACCAGCAACGGAGGGTGAGGGGGGGGCAGTGGGGGGGGGGCCGTGTTTACGCTCCGTTTTTGCAGGGGGCTGCCGCTGCTGGACGCTGCTGCGGGTGTTTTCGTGAGCATTTAGTGACCCAGCGCTCAGTTGTGGGGGGGGGGGGGGAGAATCTCGCCAAAAGCCCTAAATGCGAGCGCCTTCGCAGGGAGTCATAAATAAAACTCGAGATTATTTTCGACCGCTCGGGGTACTTTCTCATGTTACGAATCGCTTTGTATCATCGACGAAATGTAAGGAGATGGACGATGGAGACGAATGAGCAGACCATATACGGAGTCCACTTCCAATTCTTGCCAAAAATAACTGGATAGCCGACCAGCTGCAGCTGCTCCTCCAGCGTTGTGCATATTTTAATCGTTTATTCAGCGTGGCATTCAACATTCCTGGTGCCATTCCTCTTGTTTACCCACTTGACAAAAACAACAAAAGGGGCCCTGCCCTTCTACGGATTCGCCACAAGCCTGGGACTGCCATGGCATGTGTGACCATTTCACTCCATCCACCTCTCGAATTGTCTGGTACCTGCCGTGACATTCCGATGAATTGTCACGATTTGGGGCGACCGATGCGATTCAAGGATCAACTGAATTTTTTTTAAGAAACATTTTTTTCTCCCCATTTTATATTTTGTAGCACTTCTTCTCACGGCCTTGTTTGTACGCGGCGGGCACAGCGTTTGGCCCACTGTGCTATGACGTCGGCGATTTCGGGCCATGGTTAACACCAATGGCATGTGACATCTCAGCGGGTCCTAGATCCCCCTTTGCCCCACCCGCACCGACCAGCGTGGTGAAGTGTTGTCAAACAATCCCACGGATCCGCACGGTGGCGTGGGTAAGGCTGTAGATAGCAGTGGGGGGGGGGGGGGGGGGGGTGACAAAGGTCCACGGTTGTGCAGGGTGGCGGTCGCCCATCCAAGCAAGACTCTCAAACCCTGTTGTCTTCTGAGGCCTGATGCAATCTTCCGGATGAAGATTTGGTTGCAAGCGCCGCTGCTGCGATTGTCGGTTAACACAGATTCACGTGCACCCCCACCCCACCTCCCCGCGTGTCCGCAGGAGAAGTTCACGCCGGTCAAGTACTTCTCCATCGACCGGGTGTTCCGCAACGAGACGCTGGACGCCACGCACCTCGCCGAGTTCCACCAGATCGAGGGCGTGGTCGCTGACTATGGCCTCACGCTCGGCGACCTCATGGGCGTGCTTCACCAGTTCTTCACCAAGCTGGGTACGCGGTGTATGTGGCGTACGCGCGTGTGCGTGCAAGTGTGCGTGCGAGTGTACGTGCGTGTGTGTGTACGCGCTCGCTAGCAATTGCGTGAGCGCCAGCAAAACAGGACACCCAACGCTCGCAGGGATTCATTTCAGCCGGGGGGGGTCTGTCTGGATAGGCGACCCAGAAAATCCCGCACCTTTTGCACTGTGTGGTTGGCTACGTATGGTGCAAAAGAATTTCAACATACGTGCAAACATACTTCCGCACGCAGTTACTAGTCACGCGCCACCTACTGCAGCCAACCGGAAATTACCCGGTGAGAAATTGAGCTTTGCCAACACATGTTGGCACCGTGCCGAAATATGCCGCAGCTGACGTTTAGCCAGCGCAATAGACCAAGTGCTCATCTTGGGATTGTACCTCCTTTGCCACCGCACCTCGCCACCTCTTCCTTCCTTGTTCACTCGATTTGTCAGCTGTCGCTGTCCTCCGAGGTTCCACTGGTTTCTGTGTTCTGGGTTTAGGTCTTCCTCTTGGTCGCCAACCGTCTGTGTGTCACTCCAATGCCTGTCTCCGTCAGCTGCTCTCTGCAATCCTGCACACATGCCCAACCCATCACAACCTCCTCCTCTTTATGGTGACACCACGACACTTTCATGCCACTTGCTATCACAAACTTCGAAGTCGCTTGCCCCGTTTTCCTCTATCCCGAGCTCACGTCCCACGCATTCCAACCCTTCTCTTCACACCTCCAACACTTTCCTGCCACTTTCCGTTTTTAACTTGCAAGTTCCTTACTGTGTCCTGTCATGAGATTCATAGCATTGTCTGTATATCTAATATAGCAGTAAACGTACACTCACAGCACCCAGCGCAGACCAGTAGTTTGGTTACTCGCATTCACGCGGCGATCACTTTGTAATGATTGCTCTGCCCCTGAGTCAATATCAATGACGTTTGGTACCGCGCCCGGTTGTGTGCTCGCGTGCGCGTGGGCAAACCGCCGCAGGTATTCTTATTTATCCATCCCTAAAACAAAGCGTGGCGTGTATCGACACGTGTTTTAAGGAACGTGGCGACACGTGTTTTAAGGAACGTGGCGACACGTGTAGACACGCGTCCTCGAGCAAAATTGCAGTCGACAGGCCAAGTTGGGCTTTCTCTGCGAGTTCACGAAGGGAAACTGAAAGGAAAGCCATCGTAAACAACCAGCTGAGAAAACAGCCTCACGCTCGTGGCCGAGCGCGTGTTCATGTACTGATGTTTACGTGAATAAAGCAGCTGTAGGGCCGCGGTAATCGGCACGGCGGCTAATTGGATCTCTCTCCCTCTCTCTCGCGTGCACGCGTGCCCTGTCGGCCCCGTGAGCAGGGATTACCAAGTTGCGTTTCAAGCCGGCCTTCAACCCCTACACCGAGCCCAGCATGGAGGTGTTCAGCTACCACGAGGGTGAGCTCGGGCCTGCGAGTGCCACCGCCGCCGTTACCGCCGCCCGCGCTGCTCGTCTCCGATGTTCAGCAGCGGTCGCGTTGTTCTGTCTTCCGTCTTCGTGCGCCTTGAATAGTTCGATGTCTTGGCACGGCTAAAGGATCGAGTGTAAGGCGGTGTGGGTAAGAGCGGTGTAAGAGCGGTGTGCGCGTGGTGTGGCGGCGTCTCCGCAGGCCTCAAGAAGTGGGTGGAGGTGGGGAACTCGGGGGTGTTCCGCCCTGAGATGCTGCTGCCCATGGGCCTGCCGGAGGGCGTCTCCGTCATCGCGTGGGGCCTCTCGCTCGAGAGGTAGCGCACCTCCTCGCACGGCGGTGGCGGTGCCGCAGCACTGGCCAGCGGTCACATGCACGCACGCGTGCGCTCGCACACGCACGCGTCACCCCCTGCACGTGCCGGCACATGGCCTGCTGGCGCTGGTTCACCGTGTCAAGTTGCGCGAATGCAGCCGACGTGAGCGCCAGGACTGGTTTCACAAGCCTGTTTGTAGGGCCCACCCATATACATATGACGCATGCTAATGATGCTTCGATTCGCTCAATTAGCATCGGTTATTTTGTTCACGATATATGCGTCGAATTTCATGTGTGATTATTGGTTATTTACAAATTATGCACCTTATGCCGATGCTACACTTTCGCTGACGGAACAAGCTAAACTGTGCCGACAAAATAAAAAATTAAGTGGGATTAGAAAGGGCTCCTTCTCGAGAAGGGACGATCGCCAGTTGTCAAGGCTTACGACGGAGTGGCGGCAACAGGAGCGAACACACACAGAGAGAGAGCACATTCGCCGTGGAGACGGAAGCGACAAAATCGATCCGTGCGCACGTACTGGATTGGTACATCGCGAGACATTGAGAGGGGCCTTCACCCAGCAGTGGATTGACCGTGGCTAACAACGATGACGATGCGTGGTGAATTGTTACAAGCCTAATACGCACGCATCCTAGTTCCGAGTTTCAACGGAACGACAAAGACCCATCTCGCAACGTCTGCCAGCCCGAAGCGTTGCACGGCGACCTCCTGAAGGTTGGGGTCAACTCGGCCGTAGCGGTCAGGAGCCGAAGTTGACCCGACTGACCCAAGCCGCGCTTGTCACTCGTCGTGGCGTCTGCGAGACCTCCGTTAGAACTCCGACTCCAGGTGGCGACTCCTCCCCCCCCATTCCCGGCACGGAGGGCTGGGGGGGGAGGTGTCTCCGGGGCTTTCCTCATGGTTCACATCCCTCACCACGCGCAGCGCGAGCGATCACCGCGCCGGCAGCTTTGCCCGGCCCCCGGGTAGAAGGTTAAGCGAACTAATTAACTCGAGACAAATAGCGGGGCCCCAGCGTACACAGAACACATGGGCTAACCCTTGCCTGTTCCAACACAGCTCTGTGTGTGTGTGTGTGTTTTTATCGGTGCTCGTTTTCTGTTTGTCAAAACACGATTTGGGGATAAGAAATACGAACCGGTCAGTGGCGCGATGGCTGACAGATTCCTCGTTAAGGTGTTCGGTTAAAGTCAGAGGTCGTGGAAGCTTCGGTGAATTTAAGGTGGCTGGCACAGATCCATCACAGCTTGAACCTTGGGTGCAAGCCGACACCAGAGACACGTCTTCGATGCATCGATTAAAACTGATTCTTAAGGTCACGATGATGGTTGATGCTTAGAATCGTGCGGGTAAGAATTGGTCACTTTCGAATTGTGTCGGATTTGATTCGTTTATTTAAGCCGTGCAGCAAATACAGCTGCTACTTTCACCACGACTGTTAAAAAAGAAATAATTTAATCAAATCGTGACTGAATGGTGACAGTCTAAGAATCGCGATGGGAGATCGATCACTATATGCCAAGCAGAAACCACAGTGGGGCCACCACTGCATCCATGTGCCATTCACAACAAATTGTACGTTTGCACTATAATTCGCCACCGTAGTATAGCTTGGACGCAGAGCGACCACAGGCTAATATGTCAGCCAATCTTATAGGCTTGGGTCCATTGAGACGACCGGCTGAGATGGGGGATGATCGTTTGCAACAGCAGGCACAGGAGAGGGCTCTGGGCTGTTGTGAGCGAGTCGGAGGCAAGCCCCTGAGTGGAGACCAGTTGTCGTTGGCGTGCGCCATTTATTATTCCTTTCCTCCCGGTTTGTAACGAGGTGACGCCACCGCGCCAGGCTTGAGCGATTTACAAATATTGAGTTGGTGAACTGTGTGGCGATGCCTGCACATTTACCTTATTGGGTAACAACCTGACGATAGCCCAGAGAGGCTCTTTGGGAGGATTTGGCCTGTCACGTCTTGGGCGCTGTTGCGAAGTTATTGTTTTTTTCCAACGCGTTTGCCGGCATTTAATTTCAGGGACTCGTGCGGCGACCGGTGAAAGCTCTCCACGCATTCTTCGCAAATCTGTTGTTGTTGCCCATTTTCCACTCTCATTTCAACACCCTGGGAAACCCATAATAACATCTGCTTTACGAATTTAAAAAGTTCCTCTTGTAATAAGAGTAAAAAACAATATTGGAAAAAGTCACGAGTTTTTTTAATTTGTCGAGCCACCACGGATTCGTGGACGCATGAGCTGTGAACGATCAAAAGGCTTTCGCTCAAGTAAGCGTCAGTGCAGCCTCTGTGTTGCTGTTGTTGTGTTAGTGGCTGTAATTAGTCGTTGTTTAAGGGCGCTTTCTTCGTGCACAAGCTCTCTAAATCGGCGAGCAATTGTCCAAATGCGCGCCTGTGCCGTCCGACACATTTAGCCGCCCGTAAAACAGGCCCAGCGAGATTTTCCTCCCCAGTCATGACCAAGTGCAAATAGGTTCCGCTATCGCCATCGCTCACACCGCTTCGCTGACAGGTCGTGATATCAAGCAACGATAAGCAACGATAAGCAACTATAAGCAGCGCTTAAGGGAATGCACACACCCGAGCATTAAACCGTGGCTTTTTTTTGAGGGCATCGGACAGAAGCTGTGGCCTCTTGCCACACTGAAAAATCCACAATAGCTGTCTCTGGTGCGATTTCCGTGATGCATCTGTAGACATTCCCTGCATTTTTCCCCCAAAGGCTGCGAGATTTCGCCAGAACCGCGGCGTAATCCGTTGGCGGCTGGCCGTAAACCCTGAGACGAGCCGGGAGGAAGGCGGCAGGTGGCTATGGGAATGCTTCTCTCCTCGGGGCCTGCACCTGTGCCTTCCTTAAACATATTAAATGCGCCGCCTCTTCTTGCGTACGAAAAAAGGGCCCATAAACTTTAACCTTTTGCCTGTTCGAATGGTTGCGAGCGGGATAGCGTGCCTGAAATGGAATTTTTATCTTTCGCTGCACTTGACTTTTCTGCGCATGCCGGGTTTCAAGTTGAAAGCCGGCCGAGTTGCATTCTTCTGCCGAGCTGCTTTTTGAGGCTGGCCATGATGTTGGATTGTTTTAAGGATGAATGGCAAGTGATGTTAGATCGAAATAGATGGGAGGTGGGTCCAGTCAAGCGCAGTCCCCCCCCACACCTGCGTCTCAACGCTTGGAAGGTGAAGGTTGGTGGATCGACCGCCGATATGTAAAACTCCCAAACATGAAGGCAAACGCTCATTAATGGAATTAGCCAAACACCCCAATGCAGGATTCCCCTGAAAAAGAGTGTTAAGCCTCACCGAGGCTTCCCTGAATAACACATTCCTGCGGAGGGAGCTGGTAGGAACGTTGGGTTGCTCAGTCAATGGCCAGGGTCAACGGCGGCGTGGTGTATTCCGCAAATATGCTCGACTGTGAGGGCGGGCACAAGCCGGCGTGAGTAGGTTAAACGTTGAGTTTTATAAGGGCACCACGGGGTGACCAGCCCCTCCCCACCCAGCCCCACCAGCCCCACCCAGCCCCTTCCCACCCTCCCCACCCAGCCCCTCCCCACCCAGCCCCTCCCCACCAGCCCCTCCCGGCACGACATACACAATCATCCCCTGTGGGCTGGTGTAGCCAGGAGGTTCTTACCAGTATTCTATATATGTTGTCCATCACCCTGTCGAGTGGTGAACCTTGTCGCAGTTTGCCAGTCCCACATTGGCCATCCACTATTGTGTGCAATGTATTCGGAGCCAGGACATCTGTTGGCTGAACGTTGATTAAGCAGCGTCTTCGTGAAAGGCTTTCCAGCGTTGTCCGACAGAGGAAAAAAATAAACCTTCTCAAACGTTGTTGTCCATGGCACCCCGGTCTGATCAGTGCGACGGTGGCCTTCTGCTCTCTTTCAGGCCAACGATGATCAAGTATAGGATCGACAACATCCGGGAGCTGGTGGGACACAAGGTGAACCTGCAGATGGTGTACAACAGCCCCATTTGCCGCCTAGAGGCGTGAAGTCTCGTCCTGGGAAACAGGAAGCCAAACCGGCATTGGTGGGGGTGGGGGGGTGTCTTTACAAAATCTTGGTCCATTCAGCCTGACCTCTCGCCTGCTGGGCTGTTTTCCAAAGAAGCAAGGTCAGGTGTGTCCAGTGTAACTAATGGGCGCCGTTTGTCAGTCACCCGCATGGCGACTCTGGCCCAAGCCCGGACGTATCCCCGCTGCGCCGTTCTCCTTCGCAAAGGGGAGCGGTAGACTCAAGTGCAGGACAAGCAAACGCGTTGGGCGTGGGGAAGGGCTTGTCGGGACAGGTGCACGGGTCGGTAAATCGGTGCACGCTTGTAGATGGCGGGGGATGATTATGGTTTGTTTTGGGTTCCCACCTCCCTTGACCCCGCCGCCGCCGCCGCCGCCGCACACCACCCGGCGTCGCCTGTGACCCGGCGTCGCCTGTGAACCGGCATTGTCCTGCCAGCTTAACAATGAGACGAATTCGGCAAGTGCCGGCTCCTGCACAATGCAGGGGTCCTCGCGAACGGCCGGTGTTGACATCGCCCTGCACGGAGTCGCTGGGCTGCTCATTGTTGGTGACTGTCGTTGCCGCCCACGTCTCTTATCTTTGCAACAACAATAAAATCTGAAACATATTGCACGCCTATAGAAATGGAGTGGTCCCGTCAGATGGTGAAGGCCGACGATGCTCAGAATTAACGTCTTTTGTCTTGCTCGCCATTTCGTGCATTTGGGAACTCGTTTGGTTCCGCGCAAGTGACTCGCGCGCTCTCCGTTGTGATTTTGGGTCACACCGCGGGTCGTTCGGCTTGGTGTCCGACGCGGCACAACCCGGGAACGCGTTTGAGAGCTGTGCAGCACCAAACCCTACGCAGTAGTAAATGTAATCTGACGTGATGACGCGTTCGCGTTTACCAATATAAAAAAAACGCTTAAGCCTGAAAAACATGCGTTTACTCATGCGGAACCGTGACATCCTTTTTGTTTCTGAGCAAACGTCGCATTGCGTATTGCTGCCACGGTGACGTGTAATAACTGCAGGTGCTGGAATCCACCGACGATGATGTATGTTCATGTTCCCCTTGCTTGCGGTCAATAAACAGTTACACCACACACGCGCGCTGGCTGCGCACCGCTGTTGTCAACGATGTGGCTTTGGCTTGACGGACAGCAGACCGCTGTTGTGCCCCAAGAGGTGGCCGGGTGTCTCGGAGGTCAGAGACGCTGAGATCCTGGGTTCGAATCCAGGTTTTAAGCCCACCTGTCATTAAACCGGGTTCTCAAGTTTAGCGAGCGCATGGTCTCAGCATGCCCAGTCACTGATGACTGCAGAGAGAAAACCATCGTTATTAAATTTTGCGCATTATTTTAAGTTATAGAAAAAAACCTGAAATCTATATACATGAAAGGAAAATTTGTGAATGTGTGTCTGTTCGAAATGTTTAGCATACTTCCCGACATGCAACAAACTTGAAATTTGGCATGTGGGTAGCTTCCAGACTGTACACAATGCAAAAAGTCTAAACATTTACATTTGTATTTTGGGGGGCGGCGGGGGGGGGGGGCCAATAATGGATATATTTTGCACGGAAAGTGAGCGGTGACGTCACATCTGTGATTTCACCCGCATGTCACGCAGTGTGCCTGCTGACGTCACGCATTCCCCCACCCTCCACGTAGGCCGTGTATTAATCCAAGTCTTGGGCGAAGCCGGGTAGTGAAGCTAGTAATGAATAAAATCAAACTTTTGTTTGATGAACATCTCTGCAGCGGTGCATGTGGGCAAGTGTGGGGCCCGCAGTGTAGATAAGAGGGCTCTTCAAAGACAGGCTCTCAAAAGTAGTTCTCCGATATCTACTTGCACAGGCCGTTCGTTATCACGGTAGCAGTGCTCTGCGAGTGTTCACAATTGCAGGTAACACATTTGGTGGGTTGGTGGAGAATAACAATGTTTTTACTGCCCACCACTCTGAAACAATAATTTCTCCCCGGTACGTATGTTTTTGCGCGTGTCGCCAACGTACGCAAGTATGTGCGGCATGCACGCGATGTGTGTTATGCAAGGCACGTGCAGCCGGTGGTAGATGTCATGATAAGCTGCGTTGCTTCGAGGTTCGGTGGATCCCATGGTGCAGGGAAGATAGCATCAGCTCTGAAGCAAGTCTCTAAACCCCGCACTGCTCTGTAAACCAGACGTGGGAGGAAGATGCTTGGAATAGACTCGCGGGTGTTGCACGTACGTGCGGAGATTGTTAAAAGTAATTTTCACCGCGTTGATGCGAGAACAAGGTGTGATTTATCCGACTGCCATTCGGCCTCAATTATCCCAAACCATTACACATTTACATGTCGCTACAATCGTATTATTACGGTTAATTTAAATAATTGCGAACAATGGAAAGTATAGCACGTAAACATCTCTTAATTGAGTGGAAGCATATACACAGCGATTCATGAGGATAATTTTAATTCTGTATTTATTTATTTACTCAACATTTCGTATTTTTTAATTCAATGTTAGGCAAGTTAAATGTACAGCAGCAGCAGCAGCATCGCTGACGACAAAAAAAACCCAACACGCCGGCGATAAACAGAAGCGTCGCTAGGAACGGTCAGGAATTTTCCCGTGCGCGTGGCGGCATGCGGGCATCGTGATGGGCATCGTGCGGGCAGAGTGCGGGCAGAGTGGCCGGCCGACTTCTCGGGCCGAGGGGCCCCTCCCGCAGGTCGTCACCTTCCCATGCCGGGCTCGTACCGGCCAAACGTGGTGACAGTGGAGAGAGTGGAGAGAGTGGTGACAGTGGAGAGGGTGCAGCACTTTGCTTTGGAACCACGGCAGCGTAGGCGGTGGCAGCAGCGCAGGGGGACTGCAATGGGCTCCGCCGGTGCCGGGGAGCGACCGCTACGCATACGAGGGGGGGTGGGGGGGGGGTGTCTTTTACCTGCAGGTTCTTGGTTGGGGGGAGGGGAAGTGGGGGATGGTGCAGCCCACGTAAAGCTGATGGTGAGCGAGGGGAGGGCATTTCATCGTTAATATGTATCCGAGACAGGCGAGGGGCCGCACACGAGCGATGAGCAGGGGTAACGACAGCAAGGAGGGGGGGGGGGGGGTTATTCCGACGTGAGAACAACACGAGTCGCTGCTGCGGCTGAATAAACCGGGCTGCTGCCGCCCGTCCTCCGCATTTGGGTGAAGGTCACACACGCCGTCAAACGTGTAAATACCACCGGTCCCACTTCCAACGCAAGCGCAGTCCCATTGAAATGAGAAGAGAAAAAAAAATCCCGCAACGCTGCGGCACATTCACGGCCCAGTTCATATTTTTTTCACGAGTGCACATTTCCATTGCATTTCAGGCCGAGCACTCGGTAGTCCCTGATGTTGAAGTTGGTGTCTATGGCCTTGGGCCACGCGGCCCCGTCGGACTGTGCGAGGGAGTCGCTTCGCACCACGCCAGGGCGAGCGTCCGTCACCAGGTCCCCGTTGCACAAGAAACCTCCGCCTCCTCCCGGCTGCCCAGCCGCCGGCGCCTTGCTCAGCTCGTCCACGGCGCTCGCCCTCTGACCCTGCTGAAAGGCGTCGCGCCACTGCGCCTGCTCGCCCGAGCCGAAGCTCAGCTCGCACGAACTGTCGTCCGCCAGCGCGTCGAGCAGGCTGCCCACGGAGATGCGGTCCAGGTTGTCGGCGAGGTCGGAGCCCGGCTGGCAAGCCCAGCTGTCGCGCGGGGAGCCCGACTCCTGGCTCTCGTCGGGCAGGCTGTAGAGGCTGCCGCTGAACTGGCTGCTGGCCTCCTCGCACAGGCCCGCGCGGTCCTCCAGCAGCCACCGCAGCGCCTCCAGGCCCTCGTTCGCCGCCAGCAGCTGCGTCAGGATCCGCGAGTCGAGCACGCGGAGGCCGGTCTGCGTCGCGGGGACACGAGGAGGGAAAGTGTGCTCAAGTGGCTTGCTCTGCGTGATGGTGGAATGAGCTGGGTGTGGTGGTGGCGGTGGTGGTAGTGGCGCACACACGTGCAGCACCCCCAGCAGTGATGAAGGCGCCGGGGTTGGTGGACAGAATTGATTTTGCGCGACTCCCAAACTCGTGGGACCAGCTGAGTTACCAGGTGATGGCAGTACAGCAAGTGGGTTCATGAACCCCGTTCGTGCAGACCTCGTATATGTGGCGTTACACTGTCGCAAGTGCAGTGGGTTTCATCTGAGTAATCTTTTGCTCATTAAAACGGGAAATATCCCAAATGTACCCCCTGGAGGTAGAGTAGTCACCACACATTCGAGCCATCCTGGCGAGTTTGTTTTCTCGTGTCGACTTGTGCAGGTGTGACAGCACAAGCTGATGGTCTGGGTCAAGGTGGTCATCACTATCACGTACCATCGCGACCACAGATGTGATGCCATTCGGATTCTGTTAAAGACGCATTTAAAAGGTGGTCAACCACATTCAATTTACGCACCCACAGCGTTCACCACACCAGGCCGACCAACAGCGCCGTGTCCCGGGCAGGGAAAGGCGGGTGTTTGTGAAAATGTCTCGCCACAGCCTCTGCCTTCTGGCCGTTCCGGTTCGTCAGAGAAAGATTGTTTTGTTCTCACTCTTTGGTTCTTTCGGTAAAGTCACGTGGGTATAAAATAAAATAAATTTACGACGTTTCGGGCGCAACACAAGCGTCCGTCATCAGGTGGGAAAGCGTGGTCTGCTGCTGATGCAGACTGTCTTCAAGACTAAGCTCCTCCCCCCCTCCCCCCCACCCCTTAACTTGTATTTAAGAACTTGTATCTTGGAATTTTTTGCCTCACTTGATACAGTAAATCTGGCTGTGACGGTCCCACCTGATGACGGAGACTTGTGTTGCCTCCGAAACGTCGTGATTTATTATTTTATTTTGTTTCTATTAATTTTATGTTTTACCTACGTGACCTTACCGAAAAAACCTAACAGTATGTTAAATTTCGATTTAAAGCTTTCGTGACTGCAAGGATTCATCTTCTTGGTTCTTTCGGTAAAGTCACGTAGAAGGGAAATAATAAAATAATATTTCGATTTAAAGCTTTCGTGACTGCAGGGATTCATCTTCTTGGTTCTTTCGGTAAAGTCACGTAGAAGGGAAGTAATAAAATAATAAAAATAAAACATAATAAAATAATTCTCACGACGTTTCGGCCACAACGCAAGCAGCCGTCCTCAGGTTTTCACCTACGTGACTTTACCGAAAGAACCAAGAAAAGAAAATAATAAAACATAATAAAATAATTCACATGTTTTATTTTTATTATTTTATTATTTCCCTTCTACGTGACTTTACCGAAAGAACCAAGAAGACTAACAGTATGTTTTAAAAGGAGTCTTTCATCTGAGACGACCTGGCGTGTCTGAATGTCACGTGGAACATTGCATCTGTCCACATTGTGCCGGCTGGTTTTGGCACACAGTGGACCCAAGCGAAGAATGCCCCGAGCCGCAGTTGGGCACTTTGCACCGTTCGGCATCCATCTGCTTCCTCTTGCAGCTGAGCGCTTTGACAAGGACGTCCCTCAAGGAGACGGCAACAAAAATCCGGACTAAAGTTCCACGCTCCCGTACAGGCCAGCAAGGGGCATATGCAGTAACTGTGTATTCGTGGCAGAACGATGTATCATCTATCCACCGTGTGTTCTATGTCGCCAGCAACACTGGCCTTAACAGGGACATACTGTACAGACGTTTTAGGAAATGGCCCTTCTGAACACACTTTTTGATGTACATATTCTCTAAATATTTTTTATTTATTTCAAGGCCACTGCGTTAACGAACGTGTCGTGTTTTGATTTATTTACCAATTGTGCTTGCGCGCCACTGCCAAAGGCAGAATCACCAAATCATGGATGCCTTTGGGCAATGGGTTCACGTCACCCCTTGCAGCCACTCGAGGCGCTACGATTCACCACAACGTCCAGTTTGGTGTCGACACACACACACACACGTGTGTGTCGACACGTGTGTGTGTGTCGGGGTATTGATGGCAAGGGGGCGACGTGATGACAGCAGAGTGTGACATTGTAAAGTTCCTTCCTTAAGCACTTGAAGGTCCTCATGCATGACCGCGTGTTTACACAAAATAAAGGGGGGCAGTTGCGGCAGAGTGGTTTGCCCGCCGGGTTCATTTAGCGGCCTGCGTTTGGCATCAGGCGTGTACCCAGGTACCTCGTGCTGAGTGTATACATCATGAGTGTATACATCATGAGTATATACATCATGAGTGTATACATCATGAGTGTGTACTTCATGAGTGTGTACATCATGAGTGTATACATCATGAGTGTATACATCATGAGTATATACATCATGAGTATATACATCATGAGTATATACATCATGAGTGTATACATCATCACCGGGGATACATGGTTGAACATGGTGCTAGCCACACCAAAGATCCCCCGTACAGCCTTAACAGACTTGGGGAACGGTACACGAGGGGGTGGGTGGCCAGCACCACGCCCGGCCGCCTTTGTCTCCCTAGTGGCGATGTTTACTACACACCGCACTCGGTACTCACTTGAGGCTGAGTAAACCTAGAGGATGCCCCGGATCGGTTCAAATAATCGTCACCGGTGTTGGCCGTGAGTGGGAATCGAACTCGGGTCGCCGGGTTCAAAGCGCTAACCACTCCACCACCGCTCCCCACCACCACGCCTTTAGCGACCACCCTAACAATAATAGGTGCTCGCTAACAGACACCCCGTCCCCACTAATCTGAACGACCCTGGCGAGAACAATGCTGGCCTTATGTATTAATTTGTCTTGCATAATGTACGCGTAGCATACGCGGTGTAACATTGCCACGCTGGTAATCGTGACACCACCCCGGCAGTGTGGTTAATGCATGAGCGGGGTCGTCTCGTTAATAATTGACAGAGGCTGTGGGTTGCGCAAAGACAAAGATCCCCCGTATGGCCTTTAACAGACTGATGGGGCAAGTGCTGTTGGCAAGTCACACATGAAATGCCGGCACGACGCACCACATGAGTGTGGGTGCTGTGGCCAGCACCACGCCCGGTCGCTTTTATCTCCCTCGCCCTCATGTTTTAACACCGCGCCAGGTACTCATTTAAGGCTGAGTCAACTTAGGGGAGGCCAAGGACCGGTTCAAATAAGCAAAGATCCCCCGGTGTATCCTGTAACAGACTGTTGGGGCGAGCTCTGTTAGCGAGTAGCACCTATGAAGGCATGAACTGTAGCACACGAGGGGCATGGGTGGCCAGCACCACGCCCGGCCGCCTTTGTCTCCCTCGTGGCAATGTTTACTCACGCTACCAGGTACTCATTTGAGGCTGACACACACACAACAAACCAAAACAAATGTCCCCCGTATCGCCTGAACAGACTGTAGGAGCAAGTGCCGTTGTTAGCGAGCACCTATGAAGGATGACCGGCATGGCACACGATGGGGGTGAGATGTTTCAACACCGCCTTTGTCTCCCCCAGTGAAGACGTTTACACACCCCACGTCAGGTACTCATTTTAAGGAACGTCTCAAAATTCGCCACTGATGTTAGCCGTGAGCGGAAATCGAACTAACCACGTGGTGCTCACACACACGCACGAGTCATCACGCGTAATGCTCTGAACAGTGCTGGATTTTTTAAAAACATTAATCTAACTTCTCACGGACAAACTGCAACATTAATAGTTTTAATTGAAAGAGAACAACGTTATGCCGCATTCCGATGCGATTGCAACATTCACGTAAGCCGACTAATCTCCCCCCCCCCCCCCGCCGAGCTCTGTCTGGTCAGCATCTCTCGCCTCCTATCCAACTCCCCATCCTGCGTCTCTTGTAAGCAACGTCTCATCTCTCTGCATTTCTCTCATCAGTATATCTCGACTCGCATCTCACTACATCCCGATAATACATTTTGTTTTGCCCACATTTCTCTCATTTCGCGCTACCTCCATAATCCCCTTTCTCGAGATCTCTTCCGTCATCTGGCAAGGAAGTTTACCCCCCAGATGGGCCACTCACCACCAACACAACATTGAATCGAGGCTCACTTCACCGACTGGCTTTGTCAGCTCGCGCACCGCCCGTCGTCTCAGAACGGATTGTCACGATGAGAAGCCTCTGCGGTGCAATAACAACAGTGACGGTAATTTCCGGTCATGTTGTCAATCCGCTGCTGGATGAAGGCCCCCCTCCTCGTGCCGCATTGGCCGTGACGGTTCATGGACGGTATTCTCACCGCGCGGATTCGCAGTGCGGTCCGGGTTCGCGAAAACCGAGCTTAGACGCGTACGGCACAAGGTTGAATTACGCAGCATTCACCACCCTCCACTGGACACGCCACGTAGCCTCGGCAGCAGCCTGCAGCACCCAGCTGAGCATCTGGTCACCCAGCCGAGTGATGTCCAGACTCAACCCAGCTGAGCGAGGTGTGACGAGATCGAGCGCGTTCCGAGTGATTTGATCCGTAAGGCGCACTGCAGTTCGAGAGTGACAATAATAACCATTCCAAATTTACAACGTGGAGCGGCGTGGCGTGGCTGGCACGGGGCCCTGGCACGAAGGATTAACTTAGCCTCAACCCCCATCCCACCCCTCCACGTCTAACTTCCCTGCTCCAGATCCTGGCACCTCGTGCGTGCCCCGTTAGAGACCCCGTGTGCAGTTCCACCGCCTGCACACTCGAGAGCCACGTAACTGTTAAGTGGAAATTCACGACGCAGACACCAACAAGAAGCAGTAAACAATATCTTGGGAGTCGCCACGCATGCTGCTGCTGCAAGGTGATTACATCAGGGCTGGTCGCGAAAGTTTCCTGCGTGCGCGACGCGCGAGTTGGGTGCGGGTGTTTTTGGGCCGCCGGATGCCCGCAGCGCTGCTGTTGAAGGATATAACGAGATAAGTCGGCAACGTGACAATCTG